CCTAAACTTTGTGTGTATTTACTATCTATCCTTATATTGTAACTACTAATATCCAATACATGTAGCTGTGTCTAAAGTACACACAATGACTTGAAGATTTTAACAATTAACAGTAATTGAAATTAATACTCGACATAAGTGAAAACATTACATTTATTTTCTAGGTTTACGTTTTTTATAAATTTCATAATCTTTACTCAAACAATTCCTCAGTAAATTCCTTTGGTACCTCTTCTGTATCCCAGATCGTACTGTAGATCACGACAGCTATCATCGCATAGTGGAACACAAGTGGAATATCCATTGCGGGACTGCATTTAATTCATGTTGATTAATATCAATTATTTATTGCATTTTCATTTCAATTCGAACGTTGATTCAATTAGTAATTTTCCAAGTAAGTCATCAAGTGTCATATTACAATGACAACGTCTCGACTGATGGACAGATATCAGTGATATATGGAGGAGCTATGCCGAGCAAAGAGGTTGTATAAAAACAACCATTATAAGAAGTGGTTCTTCTTTTATAGACATGACCGCTTCAGCCGGTATAAAGTTGCTCTCCAATTATTTCATCCAAGAAAAGTCGAAGAGTATTTTCATGAGCTACCCGCGGTGCCCCGCACGTGCTCCTGATTGACTGAATGTGAATGGCGGAACGACTTCCAGGTATTCTGACGCAGCAAAAACGACCGCACTTCACACGTTATGCAAGCCATACAACCTTAATGCGTGAATTGATTTGATTCAATTGGTTTTATTGATCGATTGGAAATTTCACTGAATTATTCAATGGACACAAATATCGACATACCGCGGGCGCTCGTGGCAGAGCATAAAAACGCACGTCTTTCGGTACTCGACTATAATCGGCGTTCGTCGTGGGAGTGGCTCGGCGCAGAACATATTTTGAGGTTGAAGACTCGAAAAAAGCGAGCGTTCGGTGATGAGAATGTCATGTCCCCGTTTCCGACGACATATCTGCGAGTCGGGGCCGCGTTTTGTTATAATTACGTCGCATAACGCGGGTGGAGCGCGTGGAATGCCGGCTGTGTGCTCACCGCCGAGGTCTGTAATGACGGTGAGTGTCGGCCGCGGCCTATCGCCGCGCGAGCTGAAAGAAAAACAGCGCGCGCGCAAGCGCGGGGCGGGCCCGTTCCCAGGCTACGCGCCCCGCTCCGCTTCACGACGCGACGTTTTTTACCCCACCGACCGCTAAACGACTAGCGAAATATCTCGAAATTGACATTCCACTCATAATTCCACCAGAGGACGCATCCTTGCTGTCGTCCGGCAAAATTTAATCACTGCCCGATAAAAATGCCTATGAGGATCGAAGGACAGTGACGTGTAATTACGGACTGAATTCTGCTTCGGATGGGTGTGTACTTTCGCTTTTTTTGTCGCACGTCAATTATATAAATTGTTTGTGCAATAAATTTTGCTGTATCTCTTGAGACGGGTGGCGAGTTGGCTGTTGGCGTACGGAATGCTGCGACGATACGGCGTTCCCGCACGGCCCAATTAGCATGGGATCGATAGGCGCGATGCCGATCGCCCGTCAGCGCCGCTGCGCAAGCGCTTATCTAATCTGAACTTAATGAATGCCACGGCACTATCGCCAGACTAAATTGCACTCGCGAAATTATACGCATATGAAATTATTACCGGATATAAATATGAAAGTTAATTATGACTTTAACTCGACCATTAACCTATTTATACATCTTTAACCTAACTTCATCAAACAGAAGAACACTGTATTCATTTAATGTTCCATATATAAATATGACAAGTCGCTATATAATTCCTGTTGTGATATTTCCCAGCCGCAACATTGTAGAATTATTTTTTTGTGTTACAAGATTTCCGTAGCACAAAGGCTTACTCATTTTTTTTGGTTTCACACAAAGTAAATGTTATCACTTGAATAGTAGCCATCACCCAGTTGTAACCTTTCAATGGATACGTAGATACATATTATGTCATACAATTTATAAATCAATCCAATTACAATATCCTGTGAACCGTGACCAAAGAAACCAAATCAATCGTCACAGCTGACCGGTTCACTATGTTTTGTCCATATTCAGATTAAACATGCCTCAATAAAATCAAGATTGGCTTACAGCTGATATTGATGTATTTTAACTGCAAGTTTACAATGCTAGTAGCGCAGAAGCAATTACCTTTAAAAAACATATCATAATACTTAAGAAGGCTACCAGGCCGCAAAAGCTATTTTAATTGTAGTGATAAGTCACTGTCGATCTCTTAATATATATCGCACCGACAATAGGATCCAAATGGAACTGCCAAAAACTTAGTAATAATCATCAACATTATCTTATTAAGATCACCATTAGAAGAACACAAATCTTTTCCTTACTTTTGGAATTATATGATAAGTTCAAGCCAAACATGTCAGACAGAGCTCAATGCCGATTGGTGAGAGTCAATTACTGCAATTACTTCACGTACTATCTGAAGCACGTAGGAATTGAAGAGCATATTTTTGATCATCCAATCATGCAAACTTATGCACAAGTTTCTAAATTTCCGCAAACACAAACCTATCATGCCAACCGCAGATGTCAACAACTATGTCTATATCTCATAAAGAGGATATATTTTTTGTTTGATGCTTCATTTATTTGTTAACATTGAAAACTATTAGTCAGATATTAAAAATTATTTCACCTATTAAAAACTAAATCATGCGCAGGAGACATAGGCAATAATTTACACCTGATGAAGTCACTGAAAATAGCTAGTATATAGAAAATAAATTATTAAGTGAGTAGGCGTAACAAAATTAACAATTGTAAGTGAACGATGCCAGCGACCTGCATAAAAACGGCCGCACCGATGTCCAGCGAATATTCAGTAGATGTGCACAGCAATTTTAACATTATTCATGCCGTCTGAATATTCATCCGTCATCCGTTGACCTGCCATTAATTGTTATAACCAAGAGCCTCTTAACTATACTGACACACGACCATCGAGAAGATGCAATATTTTAGTGAAACCTATTAATTTGGGGACGGATCCTCTACACGGGTTCAGTAATCGAGCCAAGCTGACCTTCTGAAAGTTCGGTACTAACTGTGGTTCTAATTTTGAATGGTTAGTTTTATTCTGATCTACGATACTTTTCATATGTTAAATCCTATTTCTATTAGGAATAGAAAAGATTATAACCGCAAGGCCTACCTAAACTTTTTTTCGAGATATTTGCTAACTTCCCAATTAATAAAGTTAAAGGACTTCATTGCTGTGATATTGACTTGTAAGTATAAGAAAGATTAATTAGTTAATTGGTATCGTTTCAGTCTTAGCTATTAAAAAACATTTGTGAAAGCTATAATAAGACGTGAGATCGTGTATTGGAAAAACTGATATAGCACGGCCGAAAGGGCTGTTTTTTCTTCGAGTCGTGATACTGAAAAATAATATTAAGGCCTATAATACTTAATTAAAGAAATTACTAATTAATTACGTATTGATTTAAATAAATACTTTTTAAGTACACTCTACACTAATTTTTTTATGCGCACTGTGTCATAACGTAAATACAACTCATACTCATAATAATATTATCTTACCACGTATCTACTTATTTTAAAACTATACAACTTTAGTTCTTAGCGTTTTTAAGACTGATTACTTCAAGATTCCATAATATCAAATATGGACACCAAAGACAATACTATAGCAAGATCTGCCAACCTGTTGAAATATATCTACGTGGCTGCAGAAAATTCCCAACCTCCCTTACGTTTTCAATTAAGTGCATTATAAAAAGCCCAAACAATAAATCACTAGAGATAATTTCGCTCAGTGCAGACCTGGCGTTTTTTATTCGTGCCTCGAACACGGTCATGTCTCGTTTCAAGAGCGTTCCGTCAGTGTGTCACTCCGAGATGTTTTATGGATGGGACCTTCGATTCTCCGAGCTCATCGTTTATTACAGTCGTGTGAATATTGATTTTTGGGTCAACTGCTACACTTTGTACCTTGCAGTATTTAAGAACCCCGTTTCTATTATATTCTTTGCCTATTTAGCGATACCGCATTCGTTAATAACTATACAAACGTGAATACACAATAGAATTTACGATCGTCTCTTAGTTATATTCCACGCATATTAGACGAGATAACGCAAGCTTTTTACAGGAACAGTCACTTACCCAAACTATTTGTGGCAAAATTTATAATAGCTTTTAAACGAGTGAACATTCTTGTTTGTCATGATTTGTTTCTATAGGCCCCTTGCTATTGGTACTTTTTTAAATATTCTTCATATTCTGTAGCGTTACAGTATAATTCGGTGTTCTGTAAATTATACATTCACAATACTTTATCTTGATTGCTCAAATTATATCGTTTGCTAAAATTATAGTCTATTTGACTCGCGTATTGTGTAGCTTCTCGTAGGTAAGAGTTTTTAAATTCGGTCCAGATAGTTACAAAGACATTAAAATGCAAACAAATAAAAAAAACTTTTTTAAATATGAGTAATACATAGATTATTGTAAATGATAAGCCATTGAAGATTCGATTATTTTGTTAGGTCTTTGGTAATCCTATAATCTTCAGTAAATTCGTTGCTTAAGATCGATGTTCGATGCCCGTCTGGAGATGCTAGGGTAGTTTAAGGCTAGAAGTGAGGACAAAAGAGAAAATCCGCATGTCTAGTTAAATATTAATTAATTTGCAAACCAATACGATTATTGTAAAAGTACTCCCTGAATCACTCAATTACAAGATTTTAGGGGTGAACTTTATAATTTTACTAGTCGATTTTTTTCAAGAAATTATCGTTTGACTGAGACAGAGCGCTTAGAAATATTATTTTTAAATAAATTTATTTGGAAGTTTCCTATTTGTAAATGTAGTTAGTGATTTTTCATTTACGCGTCCTCTCATGTTTAGGTGATAGTTTTATTTGTTAGGTACAAAACTTCAATCTGCTTAAAAGTCGATATTTTACAGATACCAGAGAGACGGGCTTTGTGAACGCTATCACAGCAGCTGGGGTGACTTACTCGATCACGAGGGCCTGCACTGCTGGAGCTCTTCTCGAATGCTCTTGTGAAAAGGTACTGTTCTGCATTACATACTTTTTGTACTCTCACTGGCAGCAAATGGTTAAAGAAATAAAAAAATATCTTATTTTAAATATACAAATTCGTCGCTTTTTTTTGTTTAAGTTTTGTTTCGACGTATGCTAGTGTTTTTAACATTTGATTTAATATTCAATATCTAAACGTTGAAAAATGGGTTTCTATAAACAAAACTTGCAATTAACGAACCACTTGGTATATTTCTAGGGACTACCGGTTAAACAATTGCCCATAGAGGTTTCGTTTCGCAGACCATGTCTCCTTCCTACTTTATTATTGTTTTGCTTGTTTTTTTAATTGGATAATGAAAATATCGTGCGGAAATTATAAATTAGAATAATTCTTATCTCCCCACTTTTAATGTCCACTGTTAGGCACAATGATTTGTCATAGAAAGAACTGAAGATAGATTACGTCATAAACGTCGAACCTTCATGATGTGAAGGCTCAGTACTGATTGACTTGACTCTTGGTTTAATTTTGACCGATCATAATTTTATTAATATAAGAAAGGAATGATGACATTGTTTGTTTGTTTGCACTGAATAGGCTCCAAAACTACTAGACCGATTAAAAAAATTCTTTTACCTATGTACATAGGTAGTATAGTTTCATCATACGCGGTGACTTGAGCTATAAAATGTACATATGCGAAATCGCGAGGAAACGGTTACAAATTATTTTATTTTTCAATTTATTTTTCTTAATATTTTATTTTAACAGGGAGTACCCAAGCCACGTCGCGGTCGTGGATCCACTGTCGCGCTCCCCTCTTTTGCAGTTCCTACGGACCGGTGGCAATGGGGAGGCTGCAGTGACAACGTACGCTTCGGACTCAAAAAGTCCAGGGAATTCATGGACAGCAGATATAGAAAGCGTAGCGACATCAAAACTATGATAAAACTACATAACCACAACGCTGGGAGGTTGGTTAGTAATACTTTTAAAACTAAGAAAACTAACAATATTATTGGAACTGACGTTTATCCAAAAGTCTGCTAGGGAACGTAGATATTGAAAGCTTGTATACCTTCTAGCATATATAATTCCACAGATCAACATGTCTCATGATGCTCATTGATGATTAAGTAAATAATTTGTGTTTATTTCAGGCAATAAAGAACAATATGAAGGTGGAATGCAAGTGTCACGGATTGTCAGGCTCTTGCACGCTTCGAACATGCTGGTTAAGGATGCCGACTTTCAGACAAGTTGGTGATAAGCTTCGAGATAAATTTGAAGGGGCCGCTAAGGTAATTTCGAAGTGATACCGTCGGTATTTTATTAATAAATACAATATAGTTGAACTATATACCTAAATAGGTACAAAATATGATTTTCGAAGTCACTTTTGTTTGATTTATTGAATACTGCTAAGAAAACGATAAATTCATTTATATTAATAATTCTTATCTGTTAAATAGGTCATAGCAAATAACGACGGTGATAGTTTTATGCCTGAAAGTCCAAGCATCAAGAGACCAGGCAAGAAGGACATAATTTACTCTGAAGAATCACCTGATTTCTGCAGTCTAAATATGAAGACTGGATCTCTAGGCACTCACGGGCGCCAATGCAACGTCAGCTCCGCAGGAACTGACAGTTGTGATCAACTCTGCTGCCGCAGAGGCTACAAACAAACGACGGTCAAAGAGACTGAAAATTGCAATTGCCAATTCAAATGGTGTTGCGAAGTCATATGTGAAACATGTTACGTCAAACGAGACATACAAACGTGCCTTTAATGTGATAGAAATTATATAAAATGTTTAATATTAAACTACGAAATAAATTTGTATATTTATTATTACTTTTTTCTCATAAGTCTACCCCTTTTTTTCGATCCCATCAGACGGTCATGCTCGTGTGCTGTATCATAATCCGACAATGTAAGTAAGGGGTCTGATTTTAATGTGTGAATTTCTAAGCTACGTGTTCTTTCTTCTTTGACATCATCTCTCTCATTTTCTGGGGTTGTTTCTTCTTCTTTACTTTTTGCTTCTTCATTTGAATTAAGTTTTTCATCCTCCGCAATCCCATTTCCATCTTTGGTTTCTTTTTCATCCTCTACATCCCCATTTTCATCTTTCGTTTCTTTGTCAGCGTTGTCTGGTAAACCAAGATACCTATTAGGTTTTCGTCTGGGTTTTACTACTTCTTCCGAATCTGGCTTAAATGAATTAAAATTTTTGCCTTGCGTAAATAATTTGTCACATTCAGGACCGTTAATGGACCGTGATTTCTTTCTTGAGATATAATTGTAAAGCATCCGTATTTTCAAAATGTCAGTGTAACTGAATCCGTCGTTTTCTCCTACTGGCACGTCAACAGGTTTCTGAAATGAATTTGCATACCAGAGATTTACAAAAATCACTCTTGAAAATAATAGGAATTAATTTTTTTTTTTAATTGAAGATAAAAATTGCGAAATTTATGGTTATCATATTTGTTTCATTATTTATAAATTGGCATTGCCTTTGGATTTATAGTTGCTAAACCATCTTTTGTATGCTTGTGAAAGTGAAAATGTCCGGCGCTATGAAAATCATATTCCAAATCATGGAACAACCAATCATCATCTTGTAATTTTTGAAACAAATATTGTTTTTCTGAAAAATAAAAAAAAAAGCTTTGATAAGAAAAATTAAAACATTTATGTTTAATTTCTTAAATATAGCTTCATACTTAGATTTCTTCACTTACAAAAATGCTTTGTTGTCAAGCGTTATGCTATTAATTCGTCTGTAGTGAGCTAATTTAAAATAATTATATAAGTGAAGTGGATTAATTCATTCTAATGATCATGTAGTGTAAACTATTTCATTATCAATATTGTCATCGAAAACAGATATACTGTTTGAAAATTGTAAAGCATCTAAGCGGTATAAAATTAATATGTTAAATAAAATGTGTGCAGTTTAGTTAACCTGGTAAAATATGGTCCATTTCTACGGTGACATAAGAGTCTCGATCAGGAGAATTGTGTTGTGGTGGCACGCCGACTATTGCCAAAACTGCTTCAGATAGTTCCCCTTCTTCGGCCATACAGTTGTAACCAAAAACAACTTTCTAAAATGAATTAGATAAATTAAACTAATTACTCAGTTAAAGTGGCAAAAGATATCCAAAGCAAAATACTAAAATTATCCATGTCAATATTATATTGTAATATTATAATGTTGTGATGGATAACTTTAGCTTAGGTAAATTGATTAATTTAGACAACATTTTTCTTCTGAGTGTAAATAATCTGAAGTTTTAAAGACGAGAGCTCGGTCTGTGATATGGCTGTTAAGCAACTTTCGAAAAGGTCGGTCATGCTATTAGTGAACAACAATTTATTCGAGCTAATCCCTGCTTTGGAAGGCACGCTAAGCCGTTGGTCCAGGCTACATCTGCAGTCGCTAACACTCACCAATCCCCTGGCTGGGGTGGTGGATCATGGCGCATTCTTCTTATTCGGTTTAATTCGCTTCCATCCATTGGGAACCCCTGAACCCCAGCAATGGAGACATTAATAGAAGATGATAATGAAGTTTTAATAGAGTAACATCGTTTACCCTTTAGGTATGTAGCGAAGTCATCGTAAGCAAATATAATCTATACTAATATTATAAAAAAGTACAGTTTCTTTGTTTGTAGAGGGTTATCTTCGAAAATACTCATCCGATCATGGAAATTCTTTCAATTACGGGGAGCTATTACATAAGTGGCTGATATAGGTGGGAACAAAGTAACAAGAAAGCAGCACTAAAATATATTTTTTATACAGTCACTCTGGGAGGACTGAATGAATTCGGATGTAACTGATTACAAAGATAAAGTGAATTTCAGTATAAAACCCATTATTATTTTGTAATTGTAAATATCGGTAATAATATTTCTGAAATCTTAAAATGAGATTCAAAAACCATATTTTTTGAGATAATATATAGAAGAGTTAAAAGTACAATTGGACAAATATGCATATTGACTTGAATAATGGTTAATATAATAATTTCTAATTGCTTAAAACTCTGTAATTCTTACTTGAACTCCATCGTTGGTGAAATTCAAAGGAGTATGATCTGAACAACCGAGTTTTGCCTGTCTGTTGACGAAAAATACCCATCTGCTGTTGTCGTCTGAAGGAGGTGTCGGCAATTCTCTAAAATGAAGTCCTGTGATCCCATCTACTCCTCCAAGGAAGTTACGAATACGATCACGAAGAACCTTATCTAAGTATTGTAATAAATAATTAAGTGTCATATTTTTAACGACATTGAAAAGGAAATTCTTATGAACATCAATGGTATCAAACGTGGTGGTATGGTAAGTCGATTAAAACGGAAGTAAGATATTATTCGAAAGAATAAAAAGTTATGTTGCTATGAAAAACAATTTTGGTTTTGCGAGTTACTACGTGTTTGCTTTCCAGCGTCAATATTTACCTCAAACGTAACGCAAATCATGTTCACCTCATAAGATATGTATTTAACTTTATTCTTAGTATGTCCTAAAAAGTGATTCATGCTTGTTGATTTATTGGTACTTTTATTATAAGTGGGCTTAAATAAATTAAAGGCCATGTACGGCAACATGGTCAGACCGGGACAGAGTTGAATTTTAAAACCTACTGCGAAAACTACGATATCGCCACATCATCATCATCATCATCACCAGCCCTTTTACGTCCCCACTGCAGGGCTCAGGCCTTCCTTATGGATGGTTAATGAGGATGGGCCATGACCCTTTACGCTGGCCCAATGCGGATTGGAGGGTAATTGCCACATCAAAACAATATATTGTAAATTTTGCATTGCCTAACGTAGGTACACTTCAAGGTAATTTAGTTTTACAGAAAAATATTAGATAAATATTGAGATAGCACTGTAAATGTAAAAATCCCAATAACGATTAATAAATACATTTTATCTTGATCGAAAGTTCAAAAAGTATTTGAAAAAAAATCTTCCGACTCACTTAAAAATTCGCCGGCGTCGCTTTTCTTTAAAAGTACCCTTGAACTTGACGTCGAGCTCAGCGTTGTCACAGTTTAGAGCTCAATGAAATACAACTTTTACAACCTTTTCAAATACTTTTTATTTGATTGATCGACTACATTCTGACAGCTCTGTGCTCATCGTCAAGTTCGAGGCAATTTATAACAGAATAGACTGCTGTTTTTTAAAAACGAAATTTTTCGCATTTTCAAAAATCTATTACGGACTGTATAACATATTTTTTTAACGTAACGAGACTAATAATCGCCGAAATCATCCGAATTTTCGTTTATTAGACTTGAGATAGTTTTTTTTTTCAAATAATTTTAGATTAAAACCTTACAGGTAAGGGTACATAAGCGAATAGAATAGGTTCACGATATTATTCTACAATAAGTAGTAGGTATCGTGTAAAATCAGAATGCTCTAAATTATATTGGATTACAAGCGATTCTATAAATTATTGTCGTAAATTCCATAGAATATAAAATACCACCAACCATAAGAAAAATCGTCAATGTAATAAGGGACGATTCCATTGGGCCACAGTTTGAATTTATGTATCTCCTCATCGGTCAGATCAAATCCTGGTTCTGTCTGGTCCAGTCCACTGACAGACACACTGTTTTTGAGCAATTGAATCGCCAGCTTATCTGACATACCCTTGTTGAAGTTCATCCGTTGTATACTTACTCCTGATGTTAGACTTCCTATTTAATTTAATTGTTAAAATACAATAACAAAGTCAATCGATAATGTAATAAGAGGTATATATTACTTTTTTTTGCATTATATTTGATCAATTGAGCATTCACAATGCTGTACTAGAAATGTGTAATGAAAAATGCTTAAAAAATCCACTTTGTCCCTTGTACTCTGAGATGGTATTCGAACCCAGGACTTTTCGCAATCCGGGCGACTGCTTTAACCACCGAGCTACTCAAGATCTAACAGGATTGGCGAATTCTTCAAGCATGCATCATATATAGCCTTTGTGCATTCTATATATGATGACTAAATAGGTTTTTGATCTCACTGAACTTATATATCATAATAGGGATGATGACTAATTTTTGTTTGTTTGTCCGTCAGGTAGAGTGTTAAATAATATTAGACACGTATTTTTTTATTTTTTTCGTAATCATAATATTACGGCGTTACATTGAGTTAAAATTTCGCATGACGTCACGTTAGAGTACGTTTTCTACTCAATTGTGACGTAGCGAGCCCCCACTCCTCAATTTTAATGTCTGTTATCTAAGTTATTTCTTGTTAAATTGAAGTAAAAAAAAATACGTATCTAATATTTTTCTATTATCTGACGGACGGACGGACTAAATAGAATTGCATTTTTTTTTACCCAGTCATCATCCCTATTGTGCACATGACTGCACTAGACTAGGTTACCACAATTGGACTCTAACCTCAAAGCATTGAGGTTTAAAAACATCAGTGGCAACAATTACAGGCTAATGATCATGAAATACACATTTAAGTTTAAAGATGAATGCATCTCATGCGCTCTGCTTTGATCCATATATAGGGTTATTAATAAAAAAACACTAGCAATCTCCCCAGATAAGATAAAAGATGTCCTGAACAAGTGGTAGGGGAAAAATTGTTTTTTTGGGCGATTCAATAGTACTCGTAATAAGCCTACTTGAATAAAGATATTTTCATTTCATTTCAAGATAGATAAGACATATGAAATACGAGTTCAACCATAACTCAAAACTTTGAACGAAAATGATTTTTCAAGTTTTTATTGTATTATCGTGACATTTGTAAGTCTGTGTTTTATTAACGAAAGGACGACATTACGCGTTGTGTGAAGTTACTACATATTAGATGCGCGCAGATTATATTTCGACACGATTATTACCGATTATCTATATTTTATGATAGTAAATGTAATTATCAATATCATGGAGTGAGTATCAAGAGTGGTTATTTGTGATGTTAGTAGGCTAACGCATATAAAACCCAATAAAGAACTTAAAATGCGCACAATAAATTTTAAATTAATTTTTCAATGCGGTTGCTCATAAAGCGCTATTTTTTTAATCCATTGTAAACACCGAAAGTGAGTCTTTAAGCACGTGTCAAATAAAAATGTACTGAAATCCTTTACTGCACGCGTGCTTAAAAGTATTTTTTTAATTTTTTTTTGGCCGAGCACCAAAGAAATTAAAATAAATTGATGAAAATGTATATGTCAAACTTTAGAGGCAAAAGTATTTCAAGGAGCCTAGAACGAAAATTTTCAAATAAAAATGTACGACACGAAAACATGTTCAAATATCACGTTTAATTTTAACAAATAATTTTTACCTTTAATACATACTTAGTTTTATTAACCTATATATTTGTATTATTTCCTCGCAAAAAGCATTGAAAAATGTTGTAAGAAACTTGAGCGTAAAAGGTTTTTCGAATTCATGCCAATGAAAACCCTCGCTATCCTCGTGTTTCCAATTTGGCCTTTATTCGTAAAACCTTACGTATCTTAAATAACTATTATATGGTTCAAATTCTGCCCAACAGGCAGATTTTTTCTATCACAAAAAAAACATTACTAAAAATCTTTATATTATTTGCGCCTATGATACTTACGTTTTCTAAGTATGGCACATAATACACACACGAATAACCATTTTCGAATATCGTACCTTAACATTTTCTATGTAATACTGAAACCTGGGAGTAAATGCTTGAAAATTTTATTAGCTCATACCAATATAATATGGTAGCCGATAAAGAATAATAGGAAATGGTAAATATCAAGGTATGTTGCAAACATTGCAAATTCTAAAATTCTACTTTTATATTGTTTAGTGCCACATGCACACAAATTGGTATCTCGTGGTGTTTATTGATTGTACTCTTTTATGTGTTATGACCTTATTAATATGGGAATTTCTTTATTACATAGTTTCTGTCACACAGTATCGCATTAGAAATGATGATATGAAAAATAACTAAAAATACAATATTAACCTGTAAAACCAGTAGTTCTAACTTTGTTGCAGTATAAAATTACATACTTTTCCTACAAGAACTTAAACCAGGACGTTTACAAACAACTGTCCCACTCTTACTTTGTAAGTGACTGTAAAATAAGCACAACTTAATCTGTATATAGTATTTTAATATTCACGTTTATAATTGTTATTGGATTAATCTCGAAATTAATTGGTACTTATTAAAATTATAATTGAAATTATGATAAAGCTATCATAATCAAAAGACGCCAGTAAAATAGTCGCTGGGAATTTTTGCTCCTGACTGATGATTTTGACGGGTATATAGATAGCAATATGTATGTTTGCTTTCTTAGCTCTTGTAATCTGTCTTAGTCCAAATTATGTATTTTAATGTTGAGAGAATTGGTTTTCACAAGCCTCCCCTTCTCCCTCACTTCTTTAGTTTAACAATTGAGGTGTTGTTTAGAATGTCTTTATATTCCATCAGTTATTAGTTACTGTCTGTTTTAATTTGTGAACTTATTTTTTTTCGTAATATCTATATAGTAGTGAGTGTAGTATAACAACATAGTAGTGAGTAGCTCGGAGGCGTAGTGGATAAGCGCCGCGACTCACGATCGTTGTTGTTACACAACTCTCGCAAGGGTTCGTGACGAGATGGGTGACCGAAAAAAATATTATCTTGAGTTATTCCGTCCTTCGGAGGGCACGTTAAGCTGTTGTTTGTGGCTGTTGGTCCCGGCTGCATTTGCAGTCGTTCATATCCTCCAACCCGTATGGAACCATCCACAAGGAAGGCCGGGGCCCTTGCAGTGGAGACTTAAAAAGGCTGATAATGATAATCTAGTTATATTTGTAAAATGTACAGCGAAATATATTTTTTATAACCTTTTTTAATAAAAATTATAATTCTTGCCTTAAGAAGTTTCGTTATTATTAAACATACTAGGTTTTTTATTTATTTATCTGAAACATTTACAACCAGTGCATAGGTTCATTGGAGCACGCTATTAAGCTTATCTCCATCTTGTTGTCTCGCGACAAAACGTGTCAAAGATGTATTTCTTTGATTACTATAATCGGTGCCGGAATCACCCAGGCGCAGTCTATAAAAGTAGACACGAATCATGCTACTATTATTTTTTTAAATTCCTCATTTTTACCTTTGTTGTAAATTATGCAAGTCGAGCTCTCGGAATGCAAAAATACACTCGCGTGAAAAATTATTTACGCTATTTCAGATTCAGCCACGCCATACGTATCCTTTATGACAGATTTCTCAGTTCATAAACATAAATTTTCCAACGTGCGCGATACTCGTGGGAACGAGCCCCAGGGCTTCGGCGACCACCAACACCGAACGACTTTTCACTTTCGACACCGGTTGCCAATCAAAAATAACCTTTAAAGTAACAGCTTAAAAAGCATTTCGAAACACCCGTTCACCTTTGGTTAGAAAATAAAGCTGTTTCAGAAAATTGCGCGCTATCAAAAGCGACCTCTACGGTTGCGTTCACAATAAAACAAAATGGCGGAGATTATGACAGTTGTATTATGTGAGCTCGCGCATAAATTGTGTGTGGTGGTCGTCTTCAGGGTTGTAGCGAAAGGCTTAACAAGACCGCATGCGAAATGATCGAATACGATGACGAAGAGAATGTGTACTCTCCATCACGTCCGTCGGTATTAATGTGCAAGAGGCCGAAGCAAGATTGTCGACTACGATCCATAATACACCCCCCCGAGGTACAGTCGACACGGTATATCTACAGATAAATGTCTAATAGAGTCGTTACCGTTGTATATTCTGCTACGATTATACGTCATGCTGTTAGCATTGTTTCGAAAGTAATGATTTATAATTTGTTACGCTGCTGGATGAGGAAACGTCTACCTACGGGCATACGACAACATTTTAAACATTAAACTTCAATAAATATATTTTAATCTATTGCTAAGAGTATCTATTCATTGCAATAGATTAAAATATGCTTGTTACATTGTGTGTATAGTGTAGATAGTAGCTCTATCTGAATAAATACGGTGATCAATGAATACTAGTATAAGTATACTTATATTGTTCCCTAATCGAATTAAATTTTATTTCAACTTTATTATCTTTTAGAACATATTTGAAACACTTCAAATGTATAATTATTATTTAATTTTGAATGTTGAACAATATATATATATATGCTTGCGTTAATCCAAATTTATAGGCCAAAGCTGAAAATCATTAGTTTACATTAGCAGTTTTTGCATCGCTCCAGCACGCATACAGACTCGTGTACTCTTTGAATTTTTTTCTCCATATTTTATGTCTCCTTTTGTTTACTCATTTTTATTATGTATAATATTCTTAAATATTCTTAATGTATGGGTGGACTGCGGAACATTGATAAAAATACGCTCTGTAGTAGCGAACAAAGTAACAAGTTGAAAAATTCATCACGTCGTTTTAGGTCCTGGGTAGCTTAGTGGTTTTCGCCCAGATTGCGAAAGGTCGTGGGTTGGAGACCTAATTCAGAGTGCCAAGGTCAAAGTGGATTTTTAAGTATTTTTTATTAATAATATTTTTCTGTACAGCATTGTGATTGGATTCACAATTTGATTAAATATTAAAATACATCCGTAGATGTATTATAATATTTTGCAATTTCACAAAGCTATCTTTAAATTTTTATTTTTATAATATATCAAACAAGTTATAAAAGTAATTTTTGTAAAAAACAACTTCAAAGGTAGGAAAATAATGAAAACATTTTTGTATGATTAATTTTGTATTTTTAGTAACAACTAATCAATATTTTATTTATAAATATTATGTACTGCTAAAGTACAACCAATACTTTAATGTGTCAACCCCAAAAAAGTGGTCAATGGACGAAATATATTTCAAAAAGGTACATTATTTTATACAACAATAAGTTTTGAGATTCAGTTAAGTTAAGCTGATTTCAATTGTAATATACTTCACCTAAATTTAACAAATTAAAAATGCTACATTCACATAAATAACTTAAAATAATATTTACATGCGTAAAAAATAAATTTTACAATGACAATTCGATAATGGGTGTTTGTTTTTTAAAAATGGAATGAACAGTCATCTTTAAAAAATTTAAAATGGCACCGAAGAAATCATCTTTGTCTTTTCTTTCCCGTGAAATGCAAAACCCTGGTTCGTAATTTAAATTTATTACGTTAAAATACTTTTTTTATCACAATCGCTTTCTTTTTAAAACAAAACAATGGTTTTTAATACAATATCCAGTCATGGATGTTACATCTACAATACAATAATTAAAAAAAAAACTTCAGTCTTTTAAATCCGACGTGGCATCAATACCATAAAGTTTGTCACTGATATTCTTATTAAAGTTACGGACCGATTAAAAATAGATTAATATTTACAGATATCCAATTAAAATCTTGACGTAGTTAACCGTTTCAAATACCTGTAAATGAATACCGATTGTTTCGACATCGGATTTTTATTCTACAAATTAAAGACGTTAACTTAAAAACTTTTTCGAAGTATTAATAAAAATAAATTAAAATAAGCTCTTCAATAAATATTTTAATAATAAAACATACTATCGAGCTCGTAAGAGTATGTCGATTGCGTGCATATGTGCAAATATAATACAAAAGCATTAAGTACATAAGTGATTTGATTATCCTATTCGATTGCTTATTGTCTATATTATTATATATCACATATGAAATACCATTCACGTTGATATAAGTACATTTAATAAAGCTTCTTCAAGACCATTATGAAATTAGCGTCATTTACAAGATCTGAAAACGTGTATTTGAGATAAAAATAGGGTTTTCTAATAACAAATAAAGTCAATTTACTTGTATCTTATACATCGTTTATATAAAGATTTTAATTATAGCCAATAGTTATCTTTTAGTAAGTCAGTAGTACTGTGTAATGAAAATTTTCTTTGATAGATAGTTTTATCGTAACTTAAGTCACTTTAAATTTCTTGGTTATATTAAGGTCTCAATTCGAAAGTCTAAAAAGGTATTAGTAATAAAAATAATACATGCCTTTACTAAACTATGTAAGTATACGCAAGCAAGTAATTGTAATGTGTCAAGTGAATTCGCGTGCAAACATCATCTCATACAATCGTACCTAACACACATACAATATTATACATATAATACTGATTATTTGTTTCGTTTAATATTTAATTAAAATTCCCGTGAAGGTTTAGCCCATAATGTGGGACACATTTACGATGGCGGTACTTAGGTACTGACTGATAAGCGCGAGCGGTGCCTCCGCCCGGACACCCAGGAAGACACTTTATGCAAATGCTGATAAGCCACAAATTCCATTAACCGGCTTAATTATAATATGAAATTACTAGTGGACGCCCGCGACTTCGTCCGCGTGGAAGTCGGTATCCCGTGGGAGTGAGAAGTTTTCCCAGTAAAAAGTACCCTATGTGTTATTCTGATGTATAACCTATATTGCTGTAAAGTTTTATCCAAATCCGTCCAGTAGTTTTTTCGTGAAAGAGTAACAAACATCCATACATCCATACTTACAAACTTTCGCCTTTATAATATTAATAGGATAGGATAATTACAAGATAATTTCGCTGTTGGATCTCGAAACTGTTATGCGGCGTTGCACTCGATGCGTACGTCTATAAAATAGGTTGTATAAAACTCTTTTCATTTTTGCTATTTTTTTAAATAGAGAAAGCTCTTCTGAATATTTTAACTTTGAAAATGATATTCATAAATACCAATTAAAGTTTAATGAATCTTGTATCGAGCGCCCCCTCGGGTGTACAATCGATCTCACAAACATTATAACGATTATCTAAAATAAATAAATCACATAACTAACCGCGTAAGGAAACCAACAAACCCAATTTCATTAACAAACGAGGGATGACAAGCTGACAGAAATAAATCGACGTTAAACTGGTCTCATTAATTTCCGAACGACAGTGTCTACAAAAAATAACGTTACCAGATCACATGTTCGCACTTAATAGCCGAATAAATTAAACGAACGAGTAGCTTATTTTAATTTCACGCCGGATCATTTATCGTACATAAAAGAAGAAATAAACAGTGATAAAGAACTATTTACATACATAAGTCAACATGAAATACGATTTCGACGACTCCGATAGATGAAAAAGTGAAACGATATATACAAGGTCCGTTATCTGCCTACAGGCAACCGATCTGGTCCATTCGAGTCTTAGTCACAATCACAACCAACACTGCGGCCGGGCCGCACACTCACAGCACTAGTCACGGGCGTCTCTCCGCCTATAAACACGTGTGTACCACTTTTTCGGTGCGACAAACTTTACATTTCACCTCGCAGCACCAGTGGAACGTGCAGTTGCACCGTTCCACTACAAACATAGTCTCAGTCCGGTAGCCGCGACCGCAGCACATCAAGTCACAGCCGTCGACGCCGATGCTGGTGTCATTACAGGCGCGCCCGTGCGTGCCCGGGATGCCCAGCCGGGGATTCTTCTCGCAAAACCCCGGCGACGACTCCAAATACACGAGATCCTTAGTTCCCGGTGACTTATGGTCCGGGTTGTGCGGCCGCAATTGAAACCTATAACGGTCTCTGCGCGGAACTCTGTGTGGCACCGCGTCGTTCCTCTGGGCGGGCGCCTCGAGATCAGTATTTGGCACCATGACACGCGACGCGCCATCAAAACGGTCCTTTAACGCGTCGCCGACAGAGCGGAAACTGGGTAGTCGCATCCAACACGTCTTGACCGTACACGAACCCGACATTCCATGGCATTTACACTCCTGTCGCATTTCTGACTGCACATGCTGTGGACAAAAACAAAGCATTAAGCGTCTTATGTCTCAAATTATCCTATCTTAAGAGGTCTATAATGATGTCCGAATATCTTTAAATTCCTTCGATAAGCCTCGATACAGGTGATCGATGATCTTTTAAGCGTACTCCATCGATCGCATCTCACGATCAAGCAAATTGTTACAAATCGTGAGGAGGTGGGCCGGTCGTCACCGCACGTAGCCACATCATAAATCATACTGTAGGGACATTCATCATTCAAAGAAGGTAGATAAATGACGTGAGGAGTGGAGACAGTAAATATTTTCCTATTGCCTAATACAAGCGCTTCTAAACGAGTGCACAGAGAAATGTGATTGTTTGGTATAGATAGAACCTGAGAATATTACACAGTCTTAGTGTCCAAATATGTGTTAAACAATCGGCGGAATGTCGTGAATATTCATAAGGTGGAACTGGACACCCAGTGCGTATGCCGTGACAGGAATTAAGCATGCGGTTTAATGACGCGTCTGGGTGGCTCGAGGCGCCTATACTTCTTTTGATGAATTTTGGGAAGGATAGGCCGGTGTGTATGTTAATGTTGGTGCGGTGGTAGGGGGAGGGCTCGAGCGCGACGAATGGTCGTGCAGTCGTCGCTCGGTGCATAATTAATATTACACTTAGCGACATGTCAAGCTGACGATCGATCGTCACCCGTAATGGTAATGTAAACACGTAGCGTTGACAATGGCCGTCGACAGGCGTTCCGTTTAATGGATGTTTATATCGCTACTGAAGTGGCTACTAGTTGAATGCCGACGGATTGAATTATTGAGTCAATAAGTGTTTAACTTATGACCGTATCCTAGGGCTTGTGGTGATTAATAGACAGATTGAGTTGAGATTTTATGTTGATAATTGAAATGCAATTAGTCGCAGTTGACACTTGGATAAGATCAATTAGTTCTATGAATTCCAAAATGCTTATAGACTTGGGCAGTTTTTAACGTACACTTTTATTTTGTAGTTGTCGTTTCCCAACGACTTGGCTCGCGTAAATTATCTTTTTTCAATAGCGGTCTAGTCCTTTCGGAGCCTATTCGAAGCAAGCATAAGTATAGATGTCTTGACACCAAAAAAAGTTTTCATCGACTTACCGCTCTGCCAGCCTCGTTGTTATGCAAGTTCATCTTCTCTCTCAGAGTTTTCCCTCGTTCGCCGGTGTCAACAAACTCTCTACTGAAGTGAAAACCAAAGCCGATGTTGTCGCTGCATCCTCCCCACTTCCAGACGCGGACGTTTGCTGCAGCAGCGGCGCGGGTACGGTGCGGGGCTCGTTCCACGTGCGAATAGTCGCATGTACAGGATTCTATGGAACCTTCAGCGCATGCCCGCGATACTGCGTGAGTCACTCCAGCACTGGTGATCGCGTAAATGAATGCTGTCTCACGACAACCTGCCGGAATAAATGTCATGTGGTTATGGTTAATCACTGAGTCCTAATAATAAGTTAACTAAAACTGACGAAGCAAAACTTTATTCTCCACACTAATTATTAAATCAAAACGTTTTCCTAAAAGAAATCGAAAGGTACACGTTATAGTAATAATAAAAATCAAATATTAATTGAATCATTATACAAAGAGGGGACGAGATATATAAATTATTGTCGAGTTTAAATATTGTTTTGGCAGAATATTTACATAGTTATGCGAGGAATCTTAATAATTAATTCAACCCGAATACGGAGGGTTCATATTTTAATCAAATCTTATGATTGCGGGGTACGGGGCAAAAAATCTCATGACGTTTCGAATATGTTAGGAATTATAATTTCCAATAAACAAAACAATCGACTGAGGCTTAAGAATTTATGAGAAATCGATATACCTAATCAAAATCATTATTATAATCAAGAAGATATCATTTCATTAATTAAGTAATCTAGATACAACGGCAATATTTATTAAAACTAATAATTTTACCATCTCATTCATTTAATGACATAAGAATTCATAGAACAAAAGGATCCATTACTGAAGATCGACCATTGCATTGCATTCATTCATTCGAACGAATACATAAATCGATGCTCTCATCCCGTATCGAATACTATAAATAATTAATGGCCCGGCATTAGAATCAAATACTCATAAAATACAATTAAAAGAGAGAGGGTATATCTCGTCGATTGAAAATAAAAGAAGTGCCTCTTACCTACCCGAGAGATTATAAATTTGATCATTACAAGTGGTACGGCGCGCATCGAATTCTCTCTCTTAATATCGATTTAATAGCCCTTGTACTTTTATCGATTATTACCTTACAACTCTTTGTCTACGCAAGACGATATTATTAACGGATAAACTTGATCGAGTTGAAAAATGAAAGCTTAAAGAGGTCCGTTTAAAAAAGGCATAAACTTTCTCGAGTGTCGTGTACGTGTATTATCTTGTTATTAATTCACTTGCGTAGACATTGTAATTTTACGGCGTAATGCGTATTAATAACAGCTGAGCTATTGTTGGGCCGTTCTCATTAAAAGTGCGCTCGTGCGAAGATTATAAGAAATTCTTCGAGGGCAGTAAAAATGCAGCGTTCGATAGTGATCGCGGATTAAAATTGAAAAAAAAACAAGCCGGCAATTAACGCTCATCTAAATATACGTGCAATATCATGTCACCAGCTTAAAACCTTTGCGGATATTACTTACAACTTAGGTGGGCCGTGGAACCCAGTCGTGGGGGAAAAATACCAAGCGATCGCATATAAAAATAATAAGAGACGTGTATTTGTTGTTATTTATAATAATAATATGTGGAACGGATCCCGCGCCAGCTTTATTAAGGGCTCAATAAGCAAATGAAATCATTTTTTTATTGAGTTGTCATCGTACGCCGATATAAATTACCAAGCGCACTCTGCGGCGACTCGGGCCCTGATATTTTGTTTTTTTTTTATTGCTTATGCTTTTCTTTTTGTGTGTTATACAAAAGTATTTTATTCAGCAATTACTTGATACATTCGAGCTGGAATTTTAATGTCAATTTTGCCATCATTCAATGCTTGGACGAAATTAATTCAAGGCACATATACGAGACCGTGAGCTGTGCATTTATCTTGTATAATGACTTGGAAACGTTCTCGCATTCAGCACAGCTAATAGGTGAAGCCAATTAAATATGGCACACGTAAATAATGCTCGTAAAATGATAGCTTTCGGCTAATCCGATTTACTGTGGGGACTTGTAATGTGCAAATAAATGTCAGAGATGTTTAAACGAATCCATAATGTCTTATCCTTGGTAGAATTGCTCGTAACTACGCCTTAACAAATAGGTAATTCAAGGTGAGAACATTGACTATTACGTAATATATATAATACATTTAAAAGATCAATGAAATTGTATGCAAAAGAAATATATTCACTTCAAAGATCGGATTGATACAGCATATTAAAATGAGTTTTAAATATCTCTCAGAGGGAAAATTTACAATAACAATAATACCTAGATTGTATTATTAGTCAATATATTTTCAATTATTAACTATTTCTCTATGAATGTTTTTTTTATTATACCCTGGGAAAACAATGAATATTATAACTCATAGCGTTGTTCACATTATGCCAAATGAGATATGTCATTTAGGGAATGACGTGAATCGGCAATAATGACATGTTGCGTAACGGGAATGAGCTTGAGAGGCAATACCGCGCGGAGGTCCGGCTGCGGGGTGCCAGGTGGCCGAACCACGTGCTGCGCTGACGCACATCTTATCTTCATACAACCATCTGCCTCACGGCCAGATGCGATTGATTACCTGCTGTGATTTTTATTTCGCTACTTTTACTTTATCACGTCGACCGTCTAACGTGGTTCCGTTATCCGCTATCTGCCCAATTATAACCATAAACGACCACTGGAAATAATTTTTAATTGATATGTGAGATTTTTTTTTGAGTCTCCATCGACTGTGATTCATCGGTCGTCAGACTTGTTTTGACATCATTCGGTAGTGAAGTCAATAAGAGACGCATAAATAACTCTATAAATAATTTTTTAACAATTTATATTCAATGTGACGCGCCGTCCGTCTGCCTGAGCAACAAAGAAGGTTTTGCGACAGAATCGCGACGTAGAAAAATTATGATAAATGTTAAAGAGGTCTGAATAGGGAGTTCGCGTTAGTCACGGTTCCGTCAAATGAAATGTAAATACCTTGCGTACCCAATTAACTACCTAAACAATGATAATCCGACACAGGCCGATCAGTCACCAACGCACTGCCTGCATTCAGGCTCCAGTCACAAAGGAGTCCCCATCAAACATCCGTAATTAAGGTACGCTATTATTTTATTAAGGCAATTTCGCCCCATCAAATCGCAGTCAAATAAGAACAAACATGAGTAATGTGGTTCTATAAAAGTAAATTATTATTATAACTGATAATAAAGTGCTGTCCGTGGATTATCTGTGCAGATAATAAATGGTCCCGTGGTCGGTTTACAGCGCGGGCACCGAGCGATAATTCCATCGGAGCGAATGCCAGTTAAGGCGAGGCGTTGAGAATTTATAAAAGTCAAAAACTCGTAAATCCAACCGCGCGTACCGCTGACCGCTCACTAAAATAAACTTAATCACTGTTGACATTTGACGAACACCTGGCCTCACGGGGCGAGCCATTAAATAATTCAAAATTAATGCACTAATTAAATATGTTCCTGTCCGCATTAAGTCATCATGACCGCCGTTTCCACAAGATTAATTTGAGGGATTGACTTATGACGGTTCGCGCGTCGCGCCCCGCACCATATTTATGATGACTTACATTATTCAAATTTGATGAGACGTAATTACTCAAAACAAGCATAAATCACTCTTTTTATAATAAGATGTTTGGCTGGTAAAGGAAACACGGTTTTTATTAAGCTGACATGAAGTCATTGATGTCTTATTCGATTCTAACATCAAGAATAATGTCGTTTTATCTAAGCTAAATATGAATCACTTTAATTCGTCACACCGTCTGGAGAGTAATGAGATTGTGTTCTTTTTGTCTATTTGTATACAGAAATAGAACGAGAAAAGTAATATACATGGACCGCCAATAAAATGCAATAATTCATTTTCGTTATGCAGTGTATGGGTGATAATTTCACATTGAGCCAGCCAGTTCCGAAGCTTCACGACGACAATTCAAAATTACTTCGGTCGTATATCAGTCATTGTGAGTGGCACAATGCGTACTGCTACCACCGCTACTAGCCATCACGGACCAATTCACACAGCGCGGACAAAGACATTTGTTTTCAAACTATCAAAAATGGGGCGAAAATAATTTTTGTTTTAGCCACTTGTTCGAATTCAATAAAACCATCCACGATAGTTATTTCGATAAAAACGAGCAAGCTCGCTGTCACGTCCTTAAATCGTAAATAAATTGGTCCATTTCATTTTCACAAAACTTGATAGCCTAAAAAACAATCTGATCGCCATCAAAAGCCAAAATCTTTATCTAATTGAGTATTAAATATGTCGTCGAGGACAATTTTATATCTGTTTTATTCTCGATGTCGATCGTTTTATATATTCATCCACCCACGTAGATGGAATCTGGTGCTGACGGGTACACACACCAAAACAGGAAATATTTTAAAAAAGGTCGCTCTTTATCGGCCGAGTTACCTGCTATTAGGAGCTGTATTAGGTGTAAATGTGGCTTCCGTGAGGGCAAGCAGCCGCGTCGCTAAACCACGCCGCAGGAGGGCGCTCGCCGCGGGATCTCGTACGATATATTTTCTCTATTCTCCGGTCAACAATGGTGTGACGAATAAAGGCTGGTCCATTGTGCCGTTGTCATCATTTCTGTTAATGCGAGCCTTGAGGTTTACACCACAATGCGATGAAGTTGTCGTGCCCGACGCGTCAATAGTGTGTCAACGTGTAAATTAGTAATTATTCGTGTCCGAACCGAGGGGGGGCTTTGTGCGATCTGCTTCATAATTACGGACAGAGACTGTCCTATTCACAGATTCTAAATTTGATGAACTATCAATGAATGTGTGTTTGGCTGTTTGCAGTTTTTTTTTTTTTGCCGTGATGTGGTGTCAGTTATTATGCGTTCATCAAACGGCTGTAATTTATATGTATTAAAACATTACAATCGACATTTGCGCCGAGTCGGTGCGCGTGATTCGCCCGCCTCGCCTTGCCTGCCCTTAATAAAGTAATATACTCTAAATACACACGCATATAACATAAATTTAGTAATCTCGGTGCTCTTTTTATCCAGTGAAATTATTATGATGGTGGTCCCGAGGCACCCTGTGCTATATCTGGTTTTTAATTTAGAAAAATGGTACTTAGCTTTTATAGTTTGTTCTGTTCGATTATATGTCAGTATTTATTTTTGCTCTAGGCGTTTCGTTTTATAGCTTCATATATTATCCGGTATGGTTAATGAAACGTAAAGCTGTGTTCAAGATTAAACAAGAATAATTTGTCTTTACGTAAATACTGGTTTATTGATGTAATAGATCCGGCCCATTTACGTGTTATATAAATTGATTGTATAACACTTTTTCTTACATTAAAATATGTTAAAATATCTAATTAATTAACAACATTTAATTTTTCAACATTTTTGTTGGATGTACGATAAAAAGATTAAAGATTTTATGTGTGATTATTATGATTTCACATAATCTGTCTTTATTGAAGTGATTGGGAGATTAAAAAAATAAAGAAATGAATATGTTACGGTTTTAATATCGTATAAAAAATAACAATTCATAAAAATATTGTTTGCATTAATTAGTGGTCAAAAAGTTAGGGTCGAAATTGTAAATCGAAAGTTTATTCTGTTTCACCCGTCTCGATAAGCTTGTCTCTATCGCTCGAGGCGTATATTGACCCATACTCCACTTTTTTCGAACACGATAACCATTAAAATTGTGTAAACATATAAATTCTAATTGCGATTTGTTACTAATTTACTTTTCGATAAATATATTCATGAGGTTTGTATTTTATCACTCGCGTGACAGGCATTCGATTGTAATTATCGATTCAAGTTTAGTTAATTGACCCCCTTTTTGTAGACATTTTTCTCAGCTGTCATAACATCTAGCCAGTATTCAATAACCAAAAATAAACATAAGCTCGCGTTCCAAATCAAGTAAAAGTTCGAAGTGCATCCACTAATAGAAACATCTCCGGAAAACGTTTGCACAATTCATTAACGTATTAGGCACTTGAGTTCAATAACCGGACCGGCAACGTCGACCAGTCGATATCGTGTAGAATTCGAAATGAGATCGAATTAGCTCGAGATACGGGAGCGGGCGTTCTTAATTTCCAAGATAACCCCCTAATGCGGGCACACGAACTAAGATTTACGGAAAGCGTTTCGTTATTAGATTAGGTAGACGTATTACGTATACGTTTTTTATTCATATCGAAACTCTGATTGATTCGAAACATAATCTACACTCTCAATCATGATTATTATGAATCGCAACGAAAATACTTAGCGTTGTAAAAAATAAATAACATAATTGAATCACATTGTAAGTTTTTTGCGTTTGTTTGATGAATAAAGCTCGTCGAAAACACCAGATGTTCGAGAGTTCATAATAAGGCGTATCGCGCACAAAGAATCGAAATCGGACACCGGAGATAGGACAATTTTGAATCAAGATACAAACAAATGTAATGCCGACGCGAATTTTGCTGCCACGCAAATTTCGACGCCATAACTGAATACGATAAGACGCAAATAGTTATTATTGGTCTTCATTAATAAATTTGCCATTCGCCTTGTTTAAAAACATTATAATTCTAAAGCTTAAGTTACAGGACTAAATTAACTGTTATTGTCGATCGTGTTTTACACAATGTAGTAATAAATTTCAAAGTAAAGCTTCTAGTCATAGTAATATCTATAATCTATTGCGTTTAGTTGAACGACCAGTATTATGAAGGTATATTTAACTATTGATTTCCATCTACTGATAGTAATCTAATATATATTTAATAACATTACAGTAATAGATCTAGCTCATGAAAAACATGTTTTCTTATACATAATAAGTAATTATCCTAAAACCGATGACAATAATAAGATATTTTCCGATATACAAATCATAAGGTTAGTTGTTTCGAATTATTAAAACAACATCCAATAAAGAATTCAAAATGAGAAATCAAAAAAGGAACATATACAACACAAAATAAAATGAGAGGAAAGGGAACTCAAACGTCATTCGGTCGCATGTAATTGATCCAGGATGTTTTATCTTGATGAGCCCTTTATACGTGCCCCCGACTCGCTACCCTCCCGTTGAATGCTGATAAAATCTTTTAAAAGGGTTGCCAACTAAAGATATCACTTAATTTGTAGCCTCTCTTTGTAACTGGAATTAGGAGCTCGTAATAAAAACGAAAACTCTTTGTACAAACATTTTGCGAAGTAAACTGTACAACACGGCCATTTTCGATTGCAGTTAATTTTTTTAAAACAACGTTTATACATATCAATAGGCGGTAATCTGTTTCTTTAGTACTTTAGAAAGGCCTTTGAGCTTATCGTCTTATGTTCTTTTCATTCTTTTTGTCCGCTTTGTGTCGTGGTGTCAAATCGAGAATGACGCGTGTTTTAAAAAATACGCCATTAAAATTTTTATTGTTTACTCGTTTTTTTATGCGTTGGCGACAATCGTGATCCGTGTATTAAGTTCTCGACCGCTGTCAACTGTTTAGTGTTCATTAGAAATATCGCTTAATCTGCTTACCTCTGTCGACGATCTTGCCAAATAAGTTCTTGCCTCTCAAAAAGTTTCTGGTTGAACAGTTCCACCTCCTGTGTTTGAATTGGTGTTGGCATTCGGCTACCGCCATGTTGGCACCTTTGGCGACCGCCGCTAAGACCCCAGGGTTCTCTCTGGCCAGTCGTCGTTGCTTCCTCCTCAGCGTCGCGTGTACCGCCTGGTCCATAGACAGAATTCCAGGCGATAGAGGCGACAGGTTATTTGGTTCCCCCGCTTTGGCAATGCCCCTGTGGAACAAAAAAAGAAACTTGAAGTAGTCATGCATAAAAAGCAACAGCGTTTACACGCGATAAGGACTTTCGTCACTGTCGCGAAAGACAATACCAATGAAAAAAGTTTAAACACAAAAAAGGTAAATATACTGAACGCCACTTAAGGGCAATGGGTCCGACCATCTTGAAATGAAATGCTCATTTGAAAAGGCAAAGACAATAAACAATTGACGGGTGAACTGTCAATCCGAAGACGTTTGTGTAAACATTTGCGTGGAGCATTAATCCTTGAGGGTCGGCAAACAGCGATCGAGATCACCGATGTTGACTCTGCCGGGAAGTCAGACTCGCCACTTAAGATTGCCATCTCATTGCTTAAGCAATAGCGTGGCGATAATGATGTATATGCGACGAACGAACGACTAAAGAGGACGTCGTTAACAGGAATAGAAGCAAGCACGTCGGCGTGAGCATTGATTTTTATTTACTGATGAATTATGTTAAGCGAAATACTTTTAAGTATCAAGATTATTTATTTAAAGGTATTATGAACGCACAATAGTGATAATGGTCTATGCTTTATACGTTTAATTATTACGATGTGCATTTTCATCTCATCGCCTTGTTTTCTGGTCTTTTAATTGTATTCTTCTTTAATTTAGTATACATTAGCTGTTCTTCTTCAACTTCACTCGCGTAAATTATTTCCTATGTCATCCGCGTATTCGCTTGTTTATTTTTAAAATCGGTTAAAATCGAAATATAAATAATTTTTAAAATTGGTTTATTTCGGACCAAATATATTAAATACAATCAATTTTTTTTTAATAATATTAAGTATAGATTTCGCAGTCTACCTTTTTTTAATGACTCAAATCAATTTAAAAACGAAAGCTTTGATAGCAATTTTAAATTACATTTTAATTATAATTAATTTGCCTTTACCGTTTACATAATTAAAATATAATTCAACAAACAAATATTTTTACTCGTAATTTATTGATATGATAAAGAACAGTCAGTTAGAAGCACAGATATATTTTTTTTTATTTAGCTCAATGTGTTATATATTACCGTCATTTCCTTTTCCCGCTTTCGCTTATATCTTTTGGGTATAGCCTCAAAACCCGACCACTCTAAGCGCAGCGTGTGCGCGAGAAATCGTATTACTTCTCTATTTGCCCTTCTTTGTGGTCGAGTGTTATGCAAACATAGACTTGTTCTTTGGTACCCCTATTTCCTCCGGGAACTAAACCATGCCCGTTGTTGTACTTTTACGTAGTAATTAAAAAAGATAACATTTGAAAACGCACGATTCGGTTATTTTCATTTCATGACCATATGGATTTAACTGTAATTGTTTTGACTTCCTGAACTTTAAAATCATAATTAGTTGAATGAAAATTACAAGATGATAATAATTTATAAAAATATCATTTATTTTGCGTGGAGAAATAACAATTAATATAAATTTCAAATATTATTCCATTGTGTTTAATCTACCTACTTAATGGAATAGAAAAAGGCATATTTTACAATAACACTAAAAAATAATACATTCCAACTGTTTTCCCAGCAATGCTCATTTTTGGGGTTCTGGACCCAAAACGTAAAAAGTTAAGAACCCTATTAGGGGCCATCCATTAATTACGTCACACGTTAGGAGGGAGGGAGGGGGTGGGGGTCGACGAACTGTGACATTAGAACAATATTTAGTAGAATTTTTATAGAAAAATAGGTGATAGGAGGGGGGGTTAAAAATCATGAATTTTGTGTGATGTAATTTATGGACGACCCCTTACTAAGACTTCGGTGTCTGTCTGTCTGTCACCAAACCGTATCTCATGAACCGTGAAAGTTAGACAGTTGAAATTTTCACTGATGTATTTCTGTTGCAGCTTCAACAACAAACAGTGAAAACCAGAATAAAATTAATATTTAAGGGGGTTCCCATACAAGAAACGTGAGTTTTTGCTCGTTCGCGGCACGGAACCCTACGTGCCCGATCCCGATTCGCAGTTAGCCGATTATAATAAACAATATCTCGCAAATAACGTTTCAGTATTCGATTAACAAAAAATCAGTCAAGCGAAACAGCTAACTTAATAAAGAAGCTACTATTGGTTTTATGCATATCAAATACCCACATTTTAGTAATGATCAAAACATACTAAAATATTACGCAACGTGTGACGTAGTGTGACACAGTTCCACTATTTGCTCGCGACAAGGCGATCATTCGCTTGTAATTATCACTTTTTCATTTTAAATTTTGTCGTTCGGTTTAGCTTTGTAGCAATATGTGACAAAAACCGTAATGCGTCCTTACCGTTTTACATACCGTGATATGTTTCTGGATTACTATTTCGTATATAATATTCATTCATGTTCTAAAAACTATATTTTACACTATGAATTGGGATCTTACACAAAACATATTATTATTCGGTAAATAAAAGACAATCAGTCAGTTAGGCTATACATGGGTATAGGATTTTATTTTCTATTTTCGATAAAAATGAGGTTATTTCATGAAAAAGATTTTATGACCTTTTTAAAAATACTACTTTTAGCTTCTCATATGTTAAAAAAATATTCTTTCTTTAGCTGATTGTTTCTCATTTTATACATTAACTATTGAAATAACTTTAACTGTTTTTTTTACCACGAAAGTAGAAGTTAGCGCGCTCGGTCTGCGATACGGTTGTTTAGCAACATTTGCAAGGGCCGGCCATAAGATGGGTTACCAAAACTACTCCTCCGTGCTTCGGAAGGCACGTTAAGCTATGGGTCATGGCCCATTCTATCTATTCGATTTCAATCGACTCCATCCATAGGAAGGCCTGAGCCCTAGCATTGGTGACTTTAATAGGGTGGTAATATGTTTTTTTGTATTTATATGTTGTTATTATCGGCCTAAATATTCCTATGTTTTCTTACACTTAATTCCGACTTCATACCAATTAAATACATTCCAATGTTACTCTTATTTAATTCTAAATAAAATTATATATGTTATTGTCCTTGTATTTGAATTGATACAAAACGATGTCACATTAAGAATGTGTTGTTACGTTTTATATTTTTGTTTTGTCTAAAATAATAAAAATTCGTTTGATTAATGACATTATTCATTTTATAAACATTAATTAAACATTATTATTTAAATAATAACTGTTTATAAACACACGGATATAGTTAATGACATTAAATAGATTTTAATGAAGTTAAAAATCCGATAGCTAGGAAGTTTATAAAATTAATAGCAATATACTTTACTTAAGTTTTTTTTCTATTAGTTATTAGTTTTTTATTGAGTTTAAGCGAAAAAACAGTTAGTATATTATAAACAGACAGAGGTCGTCGTCCTGCATAATAATTAACTTTTCCAATATATATATAATTTTCGATGACCTTTGAAGTTAGTAAATTTTCTAATTATTTTTCCAGTTACAAAGACGAGTAGCCAAAGCCCGCGTATTATGGAGTAAATGTGACAACGTAGGCACCACACCTAGACCCGACACGATATAGAAAAGTAAATTTTTTACTTAGAGATAGCGACATTTTGAAACCGGCAAAACTACTAGGCTACATATATCCAACAATAAACAGCCAGTTGCATTAGTTAAAAACGACATTACTGTTATTAAAACGACATACATTAGAGCTTTAAGGCGTCATTCAACCTTAATGGACGTTTGTGCAACTGAATGTTAATCATAAAAAATCATAGGCTCATCTTCAACAAAATGTCTAGCACACACGTAGTTAAAGATGTTATAACGTCAAAATATGACTTGTCTTTATTTGACCACGAAGGTCCTTTGCACTTGTCACTTTGGTAGGAAAACAAACATTGGCCGGGGAAAAAATTGGAATGGAACTTTCACGAACAAACACAATGTTTGGACAGAGATAAAGTCTGTGAATGTGTCAAAATAAAAAATATTGACACTGGTGGCCCTTATTTCCTCGCTGGGTAATTAATATTCTTTTCTATTCTCTTGAGTATTTGTTAAAGTGTTTTCTTTGAGATATAACTCTAGAAACTATAATATTTCTTTATACGAATTCGGTCACAATTAGCTGGAAACTAAATGTTTCACGTTATAACAAAATTAAATGTATTTGTGAATTAAAATGTATATATTCTTTGTTAAGCTGAATAATTTCCCAGTAAAACATAATATTATCGAATATTTTATCAAATATTTTACTAATTACATTTGATATTACAAATAGTTTATTTACATAATATATCATGTTAAAGCACTGAATTAGGTATTCATTTATTTTCTTAAATATATATTTTTTTAATATTTTGATCATAGCATTTGCAAGTAGTGTTTGAATTAGATTTCGTTTTCATATTGTTTCAGTTTTTTTTTGTTTTTCGATTTTTCGGTTACCCAATCATAATTATTTTATTAATCAGTTGAAGCTAACATTTTTGTTAAATAGTGTAGTCAAATATTTATTTAGCAGTGCTAAGGTCTTTTAAACCATTTATATAATAAGGTAAAAGTTAATCAATTAAGTTTTAATGAGAGCATCTTATTGTACTCTGTACTCCTATGTATTAATCCATTTGGTTTGCCTGTTAAAAGCCGTAAGTATCTATTGAATCGAATATCTGTCGTTCTAGAAGAAACTTGAAATATTAATAACTTACCAAAAGAGTTTCCCTAAAAGACATCGTAAAAAAATCTATCTTTTCTTTAACAGTAATAAGACATCTATTACTATAGATGATAATAAAAGATAATACCTACCAATCAGTAGAAAGAAACCACTTGTCCGTAAGTCCGATTAAAATTGACCGAATTTTTCATATTGGCCTAATTAGGTAATCGAATTATAACACAAAATTCATTAAATCAATTAAAAAGTTTTTATTTGCCCAATTGATATTAATGAGATCGAATATTAAAGCCACCGTTACGCACATACCACGTTTTTTCAAATAATACTTAGTTCCAATTAACTTTAAGTGTTAAGTAATTTACTTGATTTTGGTTACGAAGTGTCTAATCACGATAATTGTTAAACTCAACTAAATTGTACCTTTAACAATAGATGTCCATATTAGACCAAGTGACTTTTAAAATAATATATAGAAAAACTTCGCACTTAAGAACAAAATATTAATATCACACGCGTTCTACAATCGCGATGCTAACACGCAGCGACTTTGCTACGCGTCCCGCATACAAATCAGTCCTTTATTATTTGAATTGCTTAAGTTTTACCAGGCGTCAAAATATCAAACACAACAGACCAACGAAACAAGACCTTCCTACACTCCTTAACAGTTCAAATTTAAAAGTTAAAACGAGTACTTCCTATCAACACGGAGGTCAGGAGACACTGGCTTTTATCATCGTACTTATCATGACGCTTGCACGCGATTCCAACTGTATGTAATACGGGCAACAAGAGACGCATACAAATTAAGTAGCGATTTCTTTTCCAAAGCAAAGAGGAATGACATATCGTCTTAACGGCTGTCAAGATGCTGTTTTAATGTAATTTATTTAACTACATTCAATGTGAAAGTGTGATGTTGTCAAAACAATGAAATTTATTTGTTGTAAAATTGTTTTTTTAGACACTGATATAACACCGGTTTCTGACTAGTTGATCAAGTTACATTGGATCTTTTAGAGATCGAAAGTATACTAAAATAATAATATTGTAGACTTTTCCTTTTATTGCTGGAGTTACTCATCATATTTCTTGATTAAAATGAAAGAAGTACGTATACTTCGCCATAAAATGTAGTGTAAAATGTCGTAACACACACAATATTTATTACTAAATATCCTAATATAATTTTTTTTCCGGCATTAAATAATACATTGAACCTTCCCTCTGATAAAAACAACGAAATTTGATAATCAATTTATTTATAAGTATACTTAGTTTATATGAGCAAGAAGCGCAAACTGCTAATATTACATGTATGATGCTTTAAAAATACATTAACGACACTGCGTTTGATACTTTCGTTTACAGGAATAATCATAAAAAAGCGTTGGTAATATAATCTTTATAAAGTTTATACTCGATTGACTTAATTCGGCACAGATAGAACAAAAAAGTGGTACAAACCAAAATTCTTCTACCGCTTGTGGTTGCCGTTTTGTAAACGCAAAAACTACCGAATGGATTTCCAATTGATCCCCATTAATAGACGTAGTAATTCACCAGGCTAAGTAATATAATTTATCGAGATTTTGTGGATGTTGGCTGAAGTTTGTATTGGTATTATATATAGTTAATTAATAGTTCAATGATATCGATATCGGAAAAATCTTGCTTGCACATATCGCACACCTAGATCTAAACTGAGATAACTCAAAAATTTGAGTGAGTTTTGACTTTGTACAATATTCAAATTCTAGGTGATCATACGCATCTATCCAACATAACAAATTCAATAAAGGTTCGGGGATGAGCCTCTAGATAACTTTAGCTTTCTTTTGTCGAATCAACAGTGGTCGCGCTCCTGCCACGTAAACAAATGTATTGTCAGACCTCCACATTAGTTTTTTCAGTTGTCTTAGTTTAGATCTAGGTGTGCGATATGCTTACGTGAAACTGTTTTGTAGTTTTTTTGTTTTGTAATTTTTGATAATGGCTATTGTAATTATGTTTTTGGCTTACAATATACATATTTCGATCAATAAGTTTAGATTATTTTATTCTTTTGATAAATGTTAAAATATGTCGAACCAGTTTTTATTGAATATGTTATTGAATATGTACATATTTGAAAATCAGCGCCATCTGTTAACACAAAAAAGTTAACACCGTGTCATTACTTTTTTTTATTTTTTCAAATATGTTACCCTAATGTTTTTCACCGTATTCTTTTAAATCACAAAATAAACTGGGACAGGTGTTATGCACTTAAAAGAAAGGGCCAACCTTTGTAGGTTTAAAATGTTTCTGGTAAAGAAATTTATTTAATATATTTATTTAAACTACATTTAAATTGTGTATATAAATCAAATAGAACCAAAACAATACTTTGATTTAGCAAACACAACAAAGACTAGCTATTTTATATTAATTTAATAACAAGAAATATGTCAAAATTGAACGCTATTGGCAGACTATAATTACAGAGTACGCTTGACTAGTGTCAAGGGACCGTAAGTTCTGTCATGTTGGCATCCACACAAGTGGCATTTTAAGTTCCATTAACTTAATTGTGAACTGACTCCTTCCGGCAGATGTGATTTAAGCCGGGCATTTTTTTTAGTTAAAACTGTCTGCAAATACTTGTGATATTATTTTTAAATACGCTGTTTCCTATTTAAAAGGGTTGTGAGTATCAATATAAATGGTTTTATTATATTAAAACAACTTCCAAAGCTTGAAGTGTTACTATTGAAATAATTTCAATTTGAAACATTAACAAGTGTTTCCTTGATCAAATCAATCGGGTATGGAACCTTCTTACTGTTTTAAGCACATATGCTAATCCGATAGATAATAATTTAATATTAAAATCCTTTTTGGATCCAAACTACATTAAGGACAAAAAATCTAATTTACTCAAGCGAGAATTGAAAATACCGCGACAAAACACCACTAAACAACACATGTTTTATCGGGGTCTGAAAACTACACCATACGCTGATAATTAAAGCTGGTTATTTACTCGTGCGAAGTCACGGAAATCAGCTAGTTGCTATTGTCAACACTAGAGATACAGACATTTATATACAAATATTAATATTACAGTCTAACAAAAGGGGACTTAGTGTGATCTCTAACAGACATGGATGGAGAGAACAAATGACGATCAGGAAACTGGAATACCTATATACTGGGGAAAATAATTTAGTAGATATGAAATCAAAAATATTTAATTATATTAAATAAAAAAAAAACGATTAATACAATTAAAGCATAAATAATTCAATAACATTTCACACAGATTAACGATCTGCAAATTAGATACTTTAAATTGTTATGAATATAATTATATTTCTTATAACGAAAGTTACCTACTGTTGATGTTTAATATTATTAATATTATGAATGTGTTAATATTTGTTTAACGCAATAAGCACGAGCCACTGTTGGCTCTGATAAGAAAGATGAAATATACAAACTTACAAAACTTATAGATAGGACCTTATAAAATACATATATTGTAGGTAAATTTTTCATGAGAAGAAAACACAAATATTATAAAGAGATAATGTTTCTATGTATGTGTCTGTTCGGCAATATTAATATTATCATGGTTTTTTTTTTCACCAACGGGAAGCTACATCATACGCGGGTGACAGAAGCTATAATTTGCGCTGGCAAAATCGCGGGAAAACAGCTAGTGCTTTGAACTTCTTTAAACTGTTAAGATGTCATATTCAAAATCATAAGCCAAAGATACAAAGTTAAATTTGTTTTAAAGGTGTTTTACCTTTTCAATGTGACAAATGTCAAGTTTATAAAACTATATATAAGTTACAGTCTGTACTTATCGATTAGAATAAGCAATAATTATAATAGTAAATTGTTACATCGTTTTATTTTCAACTGGATCAATTTCTGTAGATAATAAAATAAAAAAAAATCGTAATTAACAAGAGTACATTACAAATATAAATAGCCGGGGATATTTTTTTTTAATTTCTCAACATTTATATATGTTCATATATTATGTTTAATATGTACCTAAATTAATTATAATGCTATATATCTAATAATCTATTTTCATATTAATGAATTCATGAAAATTACTGTGACAAATTATCATATAATTTTCTTAATGCGGTTATTACTTTTTTGATGGTTTTGTTTGTTATCAAAACCACTTTTTCACTAAACAATTAACATACGTATTTCTTTACTAGCTTTATTATTTTCCCGCGACTTCGTCCGTCTAAATTATAGCCTAGGTCACCTGTGTATGATATAGCTTCTTGTAAGAGAAAAAATTTAAAAAATCGGTCTAATAGTTTCGGAGATTCTTCAATACAAATAAACATTCAAGTTACACTAGATATAAATAACTCCCATTTGTTTTAAATAAACATGTCGTTTAAATTCTTGTTTTAAATTAGATAAACAAAATTTAAAATGTTCTTTATTACCATTTTAATGTCTACATACAAGATTATATTAGTTGCATACCAAGAGTACCCAGATAGAATGAACAAATATGTAGTTGATGAGCCCGTCACTCAAATACAAAGCAGGAACGTAACTTAAATACGTAGATACTTTAATGTACACTAGACATTTTATAATAAAAGCACCTCTGTGTTTACGCGAATATTTCAAATCATTATAATATTTTTGTACTTTTAAATGTATATAACATGAAATAAATTATGAATATAATCTATGTAATCAAATGTTCAAATCTAAGCAAAAGATTTAACTATCTTTTAAGATAATTTTACGCTAAATCCATCATTAACTTAACCTAAAACATTCTCACAACAAAGTTATGTCAAATTTTGCACTTACAAGGTCTTAAATACTTAAGAATGTAACGACAAAGGTTGTATAGCACCATAAAGTGTTACTTATGGTAAATCTAACATCTCTTTAAGCTCGTAATCATTATAACGTTAATGTCTGTTTAACGATTCGATAATAGTTTCACGTGAATTGAAGTACAAGGTCCGACAATTTAACTGTAACTGTAGTTATGAAATAGCTTGTTGTTATTACGTTATCTGCCACATGTATGCAAATTATTAGTCGTTGTTATTTAGAAAACACTGTGAAACATGTTTACGTAATTATTCTGTCAATAAAAGATGTGTAAACAATGAAATTGACAGGTTGTATTCGATGTGATCGTGTAAAGGTATGCTTACCACCACATACTGCCGCGTCCTCTCCGAGGCTTGCCGGCGGCTTCGCACCTCAAACACAGAACAGTGAGCACTAAAAACCACAGACACTTCATTCTGCGATGGGCGGGTACCGTTGGTTACATGAGTGCGATCGGTCGCGGCGCGGGCACTTCTGCCGAGAGAGCCGTGCTCGCCGCGAGGCGGGGTCCTGAATGGTGGGAGGCCGCACCTGAACTGACATCCGATTGGTCTGTCGCCTCTGATTTTTTCACTATTAATCTTTGTTAAGTCACTGTTATGCAAGCACCATGAAAGAAAACAACAACAGTGATACTCGAAGACTTTTACAACCATTAGACTGTTAATTGAAAATAAAAAAAAACTATTTGTTCCATTAATTATGGCCGACATCGATCGCTCTTTTTTTTTGTTATAAAATGAATCCGCAATTGATCTAGCTCCTTCATATCTTTACCATCGTATGAATATGCTATTAACTTTGCGGACTGAGATGATAACGTTCGCGAGACAACCAACTGGTTACACTAGTTTTTGCAATCCCGATGCTTGCAATTTCAAATAGCTATAATTAATGTATATTACGAGTTGATTAATAAACATATATCAATTAACTTTGTCGTTTTTTTCTGCCTATCAAATAAAGTGAGCGGTCAATTTCAATATGAGATAAAATTAAAATACAATTAATATTACTTATCATGTGTTGTTGATGGTTAAATATTGAAATAATTTATGTTTTTGATATTTAATTATTATTATCGTAGTTAATTTAAATTAATAAATTTTATTAAATTAAGTACCTTGTTATAATGATCTTATTTGAAACTTATTTTATAATCAATGCATCTTCATTGTTTTAAATAATAAGCAAATCTGTATTTAGATTATAGATCAATAATACTCATCTTCACTTAGCTCATTCAACAGTCAAATATGAAATTCTACTACGTGACAAGGACAGTGATATCTTGCGTCGTTCTTAGAATGACTCATCAGTGGGTGGGGCATGCGGCGGCAACCAATCACGAGGAGGCCGCCCGGCGCCCGCGCAGCGCGCACGTGTCCAGCCGGATCGGGTGAAGAACAAGCAATTTTTGAATTCAGAACAATTGAAATTACAAATTACAAAATTCTTTAACATTATTTGATATTATATTATAAAAGCAAATACTCACGAGTCTTCACGACTACAAATTTTAAAATATTAAATTTAATTCAATCCATTTTGAAGCCAAATCATAAATAAAAATATCATTTATTGGTTTTGTTACTATCTATTATTGATAAACATCCAATAAAGTATTTAGAAGTGTAAAAACTACAACTCATAATAAAGACATCAACGCAATCAAAGCGTTAAGTAGTAGGGTACAGTCATCAAAATAAATAAATTAACTATACTAAATTTGAAATAATGAAAAATATAGGTATAATTAAATAACTATATTTGATACTTATATATAATTTCATCAGAGTATTTTAAAACATAAGGATTTAACTTTACGACTAATTTCCATAATTCTCAAAATGTATATTTTTGATAACGAATATAGATATTGCAAAATAGAATTAAGTAAAATAACTTACATGAGTAAGTACAAAACATTTTATGAATCTATAAGTATGTGTATACAATGAAAAATATTATTTTATATAACAGAAAATAGTAGCTAAAATAGTAGTCTATAGGAATGACGACTTATTTATATATGTCTGTCCGTCTGGTAGATTATTGATGAATATTAAACATGTAATTACGGCAATAAATTGAGTTGAAATGTCGCATGACGTCACGCTTTTATAGAGTTTCTACAAAACTGTAACGTAGCAAGCCCCCACCCCTTAACTTTAATGCCTATTATCTAACTATATCTAAGCTATTCTTTGTAAAATTGAGGCAAAAAAAAAATACTAAACTGACAGGACTAAATAGACTTTTTTTTAACCCAGCCATCATACCTATTCTCGTAAAATTTACATATTAACTGCATCTCAATTGGATCACAACTATTTGTATTTTACCATTGTGGTATCTTCCTGAAATTTCTTTAATTTATTTTAACTGCTAAGAACCCTTTCTTCATTTCATAAGCATTTGTATTCGCCGGCGCACGGACTTGCATACTTTAAAGTTACTATATTCTATACTTTTCCTACCTTCCTCTCCACATTATCTCAAACAATGTTTCTCTTTTCGTTCTTCTTTGTCACTGAGTTCCTTGCAATCCTCATCCAACCTCACTTTGGACATCCCGCGCCATACTTCTGATTTCTTTTCCTATTCCTTTTCTGTACATGCTGTGCGTTTATGGAATTCTCTCCCGGAGGATGTCAGGCACAGTCGCTCACTAAATTCTTTCGGCAATCGAGTTGAAAGCTATTTCCTTTCTCTATGCTAAAGCTATTTACTTATACTTTCTTATTTAATATGTAAATATAAATCTTATCCCTTCTGACTATTGCACTCAATACCCCATATTTTCCCTTTCCTTTTATTATTCTTCTCCATAGGTTGCCTGGAAGAGATCGCTGTTTAACGATAAGGCCGCCTTTTGTGTACTCTGTATTGTTATAATATGTAATTTCGTTTTTTTTTCCTGTCTGTATGTGTGCAATAAAGATTATATTATTATTTTATGTATCATATTTTATGTATTAATATGTTATACGTATTTATGTAAGTATATTGTATTTGTCATCTTCTGGTGTCTATTATTATTATGCTTCAATTATTTATTTGGAATTACCTTCTCTAAGTTTACACCTCCGTTACGTTGCAATTAACATTCCTCTCCATCCAAAGGTTGTCTGGTGATAAGACAGCCATTTGTTACACTTTGATGTATTGTTTAGATTGATCAGTTTATGAAGATATATGTGTTGACAATAAAGTGTTATTATTATATCTGTCACCATTTATTTGTGAGGAAGGATATAACACTAATAATATTGGACATCAGGTAAGATAACGCAATGGCAGAAAACAAATAATGAATAAATTCTTTATTGTACACCATAAATTATAGAGAAATTACAATTGATACAGTTGAGTTGTACAATCGGCGGCCTTATCGCTAAAGAGCAATTTCTGCCAGGCAACCATAAGTTAGACTGGACTGTTACTAAATAGACGGGTAGTAGATGGTGTCTTACATTGTGAGAGAAATATACCTACATATATACATACAAATAACATATACATACCTCTACATATTTGATTGATTGAAATTCTATTGAGATGCTATTATTATTTAAGCATTAGTAGATTTGACATAGAGTCACACAATTAATTAACAACCAATACAACCCTACATCTGTTTTAAACAGCCGTTATATTGAGTGTACTTTAAAAAGAAATCAGCACGTGTCACGACTGCAACCAGATGTTCATCGTGTGTGCTCCCCTTAATAGCTTATCCTTGTACACTAATACTTACAGACTAACTGAAGAATCATATTTAAATATTTCAAATATGTTTCTATTAAAACTAGAGGTCGCTTACATTGGTCGACAGGGCTGGATGAAATTCAATGTGTCTATTTCCGATAAATGAAAATGTGCCATAATGAAATCTTCAGCACCAGAATGAACGAATACAGATCCTACTCATGATTGAGCCATGATTATTGACATATGTGAGAATGCACCTAGGTACCTTTTTGCAATCGCTATAAACCATAGAGTACTATAGCTCTATACTTTGAACAACCCGTGGTTACCAAAGCCTCAGACTAAATAAAAATAATCACTCAAACTAAGAACCTCCTTTTTCTGGGAGTCGGCTAAAAGCTTTTGTATAAAAATGTAGCGCAAACACTTTCGAAAAGGTCAAGCTTAATCTAAATTTATTGCTTTCGGTTTCATTCATACCTACCTAAATTAAATAAAAATACTTAAAAAAAATCTATAACAATGAAGAACAGTAAGATTCAACAGAAGTCCTCCTACAATTTATGACCCTTCTGGAATGTCTACCATTTATTTTTTTTCATCTTAACTCGTGCCAAATGCTTACAATGAGGCTTTACACAGAAATAAAAACAGTTACCAAAGATCAGCAAAATAAATAGTTGATTAGACATGCAACTTCGACGTTTAGTGGAATACCATAATAGCTTTACAATATTAAATTCGATATTGGTGACAGAGGAGTGATTACAGGATAATGAGCCTTAACTCTAACTGGGTAAGCTTGAAAATGCTTTGCATCTACAAAAATAATTTACCTTCATTCAGTGAAACAGAAGTGTGTTGTACAAAGGGCACCGTGAAATCTACACTAGTGAACGAAAAGGCAACTCATTACGACCATTATACGACTGAAAAGTGACTTTAAACGAATGTGAACTTTTCCCGTTGCTAATAAAGTTGCAATTTGAATGAAAAAAAGTATGAAGTAGCAAAATTTTTTCACGGACCACTGATCGTGTAGTGATAATTAACAATAGCGTGCTTAAACTGTATCCTGGGTAATAATACCTACTGTAAGTAAGAATTTAATTGTTTCCTTGGCACAATCGCGCCAATGGAGCTTTATTTTCTTAATAAAATCATTTCATTTGGCCACCGCAAATAATTTACAATATACTCAATTAATATTGCTTATTATGTAAATAATAACTGGAATCATTTTTTTTTATATTGTGCAGTTAATCAAAAATATGGTCTATGGTCCATTTGAACGTCATGAAACAACAAAACCGATTTCACCTTGTATATTTCAAATTATAAACAAAACTTCATAATTCAGTAATAAACTTCATTAGAAAGTCAACCTTAGCAATCATTAATCCAACAGAAACTTTCATCAAACGTATCCTTCTATGTCTTGATCGATGATTAATCTGAAGGACTGATTAATCTGCCAAACTGAAATCCTGAATTATTATAGATCGACTATCAGCAGACCGAGGTGTGTCCGATCCTAGGCCATTCTTGATTGGTTAATTGGTTCCAGTTGCGAGGTAGGCTCGTTGATATATTTACTATGAATAAATAACTTTTTTTATCATTAGTAATATGATAATAACTTAAAAAAATATATAACCGATTTCAAACTTTAAATAAGTGATCAATAATACTTATCTCAAAAGCGAATTCAAGAAAATGCTATTGACGTCAGGCAGAGGTCTCCTGAAAGTTTATTAATTTAATTATAGGAG